ACACATGTCTAACCCTAACAACTTATACGTGAGTGCACATGTTTCTGTTCTTGCTCCAGTGACTTTTCTAACCTGGCAGAGAAACTCCAGAGCTGCAGCAGTGGTGTGCAAATGCCAGTGAAGGCAATGTCTCATTAGGACCCTTTTCCTGTCAGCACTTTGCTGAATATGGGTTCAGCTACCACTTGCTGACAAAGGAGAGAGTTTAGCTTGGCTGAGATGACCGCTCTTGCTCTTTGCAGGAGGGATAGCTTTTTAAAAATCTTCTGTTCTCTTTTGTCTTGATTGCATGGTTTATAAAATGCCTGTAACAGAAGAAGTCTTAGCAGTGTTGTTGCCACTGAGCTGTGTTGTTAGCGCTGTTCTGGGAAGCAAACAATCTGTTTAAAAAAGGCATTTAAAACTTACTGATCCCAAAGGACTGTTCCCAGTCACCCCAGTAAAGTGGTGTGGGATGCTGCAGGCAGCAGCTGTGATAGGTGCCAGTCCAGTATGAGGGTCCAGCCAGACTGGTACCCAACTGCAGGTGCCTGGTGCTAGGACCTGTGTCCTAGCAAAATACATGTCCTTTTATCAAAAAAGACCTGCTGTCTTAGTTACCTGGTGGCTTAGTTACTTTCCAAGATTGTAAAGGTAGGAATGGTAACCACTGTCACCTGGGGCTTTTGAAGCTCCCAGTTCACTGGTATGCCTTTGAAGCAGAGGGCAAGGTGCTGAGTTGATGCCTTTTCTTGACCCAGCCCTGCCCTTTCTTCTAGCAGTGACAGTCTGAGCTCTGCTGTGTGGGTCTGTGGGGAGCGGGAAATCCCAAGTGCTGGCCCTGAGCTGTAGCTCTGATGCTGGTCAGCCTCAGTCCAAGCTGATGTCCTGCTCTGCTTGCCCTCGGGTTTGACAGAGATCACGTGTTAGAGCTTGGAGACAGTGCCTGAGATGTGACATAGTTCACTTTGCTTGCTTGCGGGCTGGGAAGGAGGGGAAGAGTACAGTGTGTAAGCACAGTTAAGGAAGATTCCCAGGATACCTGCTAACATCCCCGTTCTCAGCATGACTGTCAATGAACAGAGTCACTGGGAAGCATCTGTGCTCCATGACATTTGCAGAGAGCGAGGGCAAGTGCAGTTCTGCCACCCTGTGCTTGCTCCTTGCTGTTTCCCTCTGCTGAGCAGAGGAGTATCAGGGGAAATGAGCTAAGTGCTGTGGCTAAAAGTCAAGAAGCATTTCAAAGAGGCACATCTTAGATCCTGGAGTTGTTTGAGCCTGGGGAAGAGGGGTCTGGACATTCCTTTTGCAAAGTATAAAGCTTTGGTTTAAATCAGCTGTTCAGGACTGACCTAGGAGTGCATATGGGCTAGTGCCAAGTGGTGACGGGGACTTGACTTCAAAGTGAGTCTGGAGTCCTAGACTGAGAAACTTTCTTGTTCCTTTGATGCCAGCAATATGGAAGCTGCCCCCTGATGTATGTCAGGGATAAATCTTTCCATGCAACATCTGTCCTCTGTTTCGCTGCTGGGGCTGTCTTCTGGCTGAGCCCAGGAGCTGTATTGTGAGGGACTGCATGTGGGGCATCTTGTTTGCGTTTTCCTGGGGAGGAAGGGAAAGTGTTGCTTTGGAGAGGATCTTAACCTTCATACCCTGAGAATTTGGAACAGAGCAGCAGTGCCAGAACCTTCCCAGGAGCTGTGACCTGCGCAGCAGGGATGGAGTGGCTGCTTGCCTGTGCCTGACCAGCACTCACAGGAAAATAGCCAAGCAGGACTGTCCAGAGCCCTGTCCTCTTTCTTGCTGCAGAGAGAGAGAAGCTACAGTGGAGAGTGTGTTTGAGTTGAGTGGCTCTGAACTTCTTTAAAATACCTCAAGTGCAGGAAACGAATGTTTTATTTGTGCGAAAGTGAAATGGTCGGAGGTACCCTGCCAAGCCCCCCATGGGTCAGGGCCTCTGTGCAGCAGAGGCAGCTGATGCTTTACCAGCTGCCAGCAAGCCTAGGGTTGAGAAGCGATTGTCACAAGCAGTCATGTTCTTTGTGCTTCCCAGCTGTGCTTTGAGCTGCTCCTGACCCATCCCTTGGTCGCTGCTGGGCCTTGGCCAGGTTCTTCATCCTCCTCTGTGCACCTGCAAGGTGGAAACTCCCAAAGCGAAAGTGACAACACAGAGTTCAGTGGTGATTGCATCAGTAATGTTCAACCTCACAGACGTTGTTTTCACAGAGATGAAGCTTCTGGCTTCTGTTACCTGAACGATGCTGTCTTGGGGATCCTGCGGCTGCGCCAGAAGTTTGACCGTGTCCTTTATATCGATTTGGATTTGCATCATGGGGATGGTAAGGCCCAGCACAGGCTGCGAACACCACAGCCTCACAGACTCACCGGAAGGACTGGGAGAAGTCAAGGCCTGTTGGGGCAGAAGGGCTTTATCTGCTGCAACAGCTGTGGCTTTGCCTCCTTTTGGTGCAGTCAGGTTCCCTCAATCCGTTTCTGCCTTGTCCTGCTTTATGGATTTGCCCTGTGCTGCTCATCAGACCTCTCTTGAGGGTCTGGGCAGCAGTCTTGTACCTAAAGCAACAAACAGCATGTTCCCATTCCAGTAATCCCCTCTGACAGTGGCTCTGCAGCAAGGACTTCCCTCAGTCCCTTGTCTCCCATCCTGGCAGAACAGCTGCTGATAGTTTAATTGTTTAATGCTACCAGTGCAAGAGGAAAGCAATTGGTAGTAAACAGTGCTTTTGAAAGAAGGCTTGACACTATAAAACTAAAGCCGGAGCTGGCCTTGCTGAAAATGCTGTCTCCTTCAGGGACGTTATTTCAACACCATTTAACATTTCCTGCTCTCCTAAATTTTATGGTGTGTTTCATTTTGCTCTGTTTTCCCCTCACATTTGGTTTCTGTTCCATTTCTTTTTCCCTCCCCACCCCCACTACTTTAATATGTCTTTGAGGAAAATAAAAGGCATGTTGAACCACAGCAGTGCTGATAAAAAGCGGCAGAGCCCAGTAGCTCTGGTTCTAATCAGAGCCAAGCTCTGGCCAAGGCACCCCTGCTCAGCTCCCTCCCCCAGACTTTCAGGCGAGTGCTGCTGACATGGGCACTGTCTGAGGTATTGGGATCCATTTGGTACTGATTAGCATGAGACTCACCAAATTAATTTCAGTTGTGACCTTTGCTGCAGTTGAATTTGGGTTTCCATTGATTAAGGATGGATTTGTTGAGCCACATCTGGTTTTCTGCTCTGCTTGCTGCCCCATGTTTATCAAGTGGGTCACTTATGTGTTTAGACTTTTGTCATTTACACGAATGATGCATGAAAGCTTTTTTCCCCTTCCCTTTTCTGACAGGCGTTGAAGATGCCTTTAGTTTCACCTCAAAAGTCATGACTGTTTCTCTGCACAAGTTTTCACCAGGATTTTTCCCAGGCAAGTTGAACTTGTGAGGTTTTTGCTAATTCGGTTTGTGCATCACTGACGAGGTCCCAGCAAAGGCAAGTCCCATCCCTTGTGTCCAGCAGAGGTGTCTCGCTGCCTGTCCTGTTAACCCAGGAGGAGGAAAGAGGGAGGAACTACATGTTTGGCATTTCCCCTTTTCTGGTTGGTGCTAAGCTCTGGGTGGCCACCTGCAGCTGTTGAAAGTTGCATGACAAATTGGACAGAGGGCAAGAACCAGGTCTGTCCAACCTCTCCTTTATTGGTGGTGGCAGGTGGCCTTCTCCATAAGCATGCCAGACGTCCTGGCTCTTTGCTCTCATCTGAGACATGCCACACATTTCTTTTGTTGCTGATCCACTTACCCTCGTAATTAACCATGGGATGTTTCTGTTTTTCAGGCACTGGTGATGTGACAGATGTTGGCCTGGGAAAAGGTCGCTATTACAGCGTGAACGTGCCTATTCAAGATGGCATTCAGGATGAGAAATATTACCAGATCTGTGAAACGTAAGCCCTTTTGCTCTGGTACAGTTTACTTGGATGGGTCTTTAGAGAACAGACACTGCACAGATTTTGTTTATTTATTATTTTTAGTTATAGTCCTTCCTTAAGGCTTGCCCTTTCCCCAGATACAGTTTCTGATTACAATGAACATGGATCTTAAGAGGTCTAAGAGGTCTTGTCCGAATCCTTAGGCAAACTGAATATACAGAGGCGTTTGTGGGTGACTGGAGGGTCTCTTTAACACCTGTCAGCCTTGTATGTTTAAGGAGAGACTGAGGAGGGGCAAGTACCTTTTAGCTGTGGAATTAGGGCTAGATGCTTTTTCTTCAAATAAATGCTCTGAACTCTGACCGTCTGTGGGAGGTGTACTTGGCACTGAGTTAGAAGTGTTTTCCAAGCACCTTTTGTTTATGCTGGAATAATGAAAGGCTGAAGGCTGAATATCTGCTGGTGTTGAGCTGCCTCCCAGTGGGCCCCTCTGTCACTCAACTGGTATTGGACATCACGAGCCGCTGCCCATGTCAAAACTGGGCTGCAGAGCTTGTTCTTTTCAAGAGGAGAGGAGCCTCAGCGCAGGGCTGCAGGACGCAGTAGCACATCCACCTCTTGGCTCTGACACTTGAGGGCTGAAACCTCTCTGGACTTGGAGCCCGTTAGGGGATTCATGCTGTGGCCGTGCCCCCTGTTAACTGGTTGGTGTTTGTCACTGCTGGTGGTAGAGCAGCCCTTTTCCTGCGGGGGGATGTGTTTCCAACAGGCCGAGCAGCTTTAGGGGCTGAGTACGGGTTAGGAGCCCAGTCAGGAGTAGCCCATTGCATGCATTCCCAGTTGAAGGACATCAAAACCTGTCATAGGTTCCAAGTTGCATATAACCAAAGCATCTACAAAGAAATTTTGAGATCTCATGGGCAAAGATGAAGGGTTCTGACCAGGCTGGGAGACAGTCACATGTATGACTGTGGGTATCTCATCCAGCTGATGTCTGAGGATGATTGCCTGTGCATCCCAAACCCGTGGTGGGATCGAAGTACGTGACTCCCTCTGGTGTGGGTTTCTGCAGGCTGATTACACCCTACACAGAGCATTTCCTCGTATTCTTCTGTGTCCCCTGCTGGTGAGAGGAGACCTGCTTCTTGGCAGCCCTCTGCTCTTTGCCTCGTCCAGCCAGGTCACGCATTCCCAGAGCAAAAAGCCAGGGAGATGGTGTGCAAAACAGTCTCACCTCCCTGGGTGAGGTGACAACTGCTTCCCCAGTCTCGGTGGAGGCTGATCTGCTGCAGCACAGAAATACAAAGAAACGGGGAGGAAGTTTGCTTTTGGTGTCTTGCACTTTGAACTTGCGTCTCTGTAAATTACAGTGCTTGTGTTTGATCGCTTTTGTTCTAGCAGATAAACTCCTATTCTGCTTTCGAGGTGGTGTGGTGCACAGATAATTGCCTGTTGTTTCTGGAAGTTGAATGACACGGGCGGGCGGACTCCAATTAAAGTGTGCTGTTACTAATAGCTGCTGCGTGGAAAGGGGGCCAAAGTGTGACCTTATTTATTTTCTGGAAAGTCTGATGTCTTTAAAAATTTGAAGATAAAGGCAGGCAGGGATGAAAAGTTTCAGAGCTGCCCTGAAAGTGACAGCACCAGAGCTGGATGCTGAGTTTCTTGTGCAGAGATGTGTCCAAGGTGTGTTTCCACTAAGAGCCTTCTGGGACCCTATCTACTCACATCATCTCTTCATCAGAAGAGAAAGGTATGATGGGTCTGGCTAATAGTAAGCATCCAGAATAGCTGATTTGCTTGATCACCTTCCAAAACTGTCCAAATTAATAAATGAAATTAGTTCTGAAAAGATGTCAGTAACTTTACCAGGAGTTTAAATATTAACCTAATTATTAAGCTTTTGAAGACTCACAAAAATGCAGTATGTGAGAAACATTGCAAGTGCAGAAAAGTAAACAGAAATAATCCAGAGACATTCAAAACTATTATCTTTGCTCCAAAGAGAAAAGAGAAATCTGAGTTATTTTAAATGGCTGTAGTAGTTTGCTTGATAAACTCACAATTAATTATAGGTGAAAGAGATAACTAATCAGCTATTTGTCCCCTAGTATTATTCAGGATGTGTGTGCAAAAAAAAAAAAAAGCGCCCCCCTAAAACCACAAACAAAACCCCCCACAAATCAAAACAAACCTCAAAACAAAAACACCCAAACAAACCCAAACCCACCCCAAAATCTGCATGCTGTTTGGTCTGTCATTATACATGATGCAGGGAAGCTGTGCATAGGCATGGATCTTGCAAAATTCTACTTTAGCCGCCGCAGGCTGGACTGTGTGACAAAGATCTGCTCGGGTGGAAGTTGTGATTTGTCCGTTATGTTGGTGGAGAAGCTGGTTAGTAACATGGGTCACTTACAAGGAAAGCACGCATCCCGACCTTTGTGGCACTAAAGGCTTGCCTGCTATCTAGAAAGAGGATGCTATTTCTCTATTTACAGTGTCACTAAAGGAAAACAGGATGACTGTGGTGGATGTGCTGCATCCCAACAGCCAGCTGTCTCTTTTCCTTTGGACTTGGCTGCCGTGGGTGATGTGCCGTGGGTGATGTACCTTGGGTGGTACTGCATGGTGGTGGGACAACGGGCTGGGGTCTCGTCGTGCTGCCCGCAGTGGCCCTGACAGGGTGAGACTGATTGTTCCCGGGGCATGATGTAGGAGCAGCAAGGCCAGTTCCCCCTTCTCTGATCTGATCTGCTTTTTCCTATTCTGCAGGCTTTTGATGAGATGAAAAATAATACTTTTTTTTTTTTTTCCCCCCTTAAATCCTTCTAAGCGAGGGCTTTCAACTTCTGTCGATATGTGGGTACCTACAGTGTCCCAAGTGGCAGCATGGCTCTCTGTAGATCCAATTTTAGCCTCGTGATGGTTGGCTGTTTTTCTTTTGCTGCCTCTTGTGAAGCCCTTAGACAAGCCCCAGATGGGAAAACCCAGAATAGACTTCTTTTTTTTTTTTTTTTTTTTTTTTTTTTTTTTTTTTTAGCTAAAGTTTCCCACTTGCAAGAATAAGACTAAAAGCAGTGACTGCTGTTTCTTGGGAGGCTGCAGTAGTGCTTTCACAGTACATCCAGCTGTGCCCATTCCTAGCTACGATGGGTTGAGGGTATCTGCTGATGCATCCTTCCCCCCATTTCACTGTTGGGGAGGAATCCGACAGAGAGGTGAGCAGCCTCTTCCCAGTGGAGTGGCCAGTCTAAAGCAAAGAGTGGAGGGGGAAAATGAGGTAAAAATATGGAGTGCGTGATAAAAAGCAATTCCTGCATCTCTGTCAGCATCTAACAGGGTTTTTTCATGTCATGCAGTTATAAATGGAGACTCCTGGGGAGACGGTGCATGTTCTCTCTAGATGTTGGGTGTGCATGGTATGAAAAGCACCATGTGGCCTGGAAATCCTGTCATGAGGCCGGTGCTCAATCTGGTCCTTGGCCATAGGCACTGAACAGTACAGACCCCAGAGTGACTGTGTCGTTGAGAGGCTCTGTAGGTTAGGGATGTGATTGACATCTGGATTTGGGATCTGCTTGGAAGGGATTGGTCTTTCACTTTCTATTACTGTAAAGGGTTGGATACAGCATGGGGCAGGCGGTGAATGCGGGAGATCTAGCCCACCATCTGGACTTCATTGGTTGCTTTTCACATGCAACAGAGGACAAACCCTAAATGTTCTTCCAGACTGTAAAAGTTTAAAATATGTCCACAGTCCCACAAACTTTGCAGAAATTTCATGTTCTGAGTTTTTCACGGTTTGGGATGAAATTTTGAAACTTGGGCTGAAATTCCAGACCCCTGCTTTCTTTTGAAAAGTCCCAAGTTCTAAGCTGGGGTAAAGGCCCGATTTAACCCTGTGGATCGTGGAGCCTTCCGAGTGCCTATGCTGGCAGGCATTATGTGTGTGCTGCATTTGGGCACAACCCCCAGCTCAAACCCACTTTCCAGTTGACAGAATTAGCCTGGCTGCTTTCTTTAGCTTACTGACAGGGCTTGTGACATTCGCTGGTGCAGCTGTCACCTTGGCACATCATGGGTCTTGCTGGGATGTGTTCAGGATGGGGCAGTCAGCAACAGGGCGGCAGACCCAGGGGTGACAGGAGGCGAGCTGGCGTGGGGAGTTTGCTGGCTCTGAGAGCAGCAAAGCCCTGGGCAGCCCTGGGTCTTGTCTGCCTGCAGCATGGGTAGAAGGAGGAGCCATTGCTGCTGACAGCGGACATAACTTGATCGCTTGGTGTGTTTTGGATGCAGCATTTTGGGGGCTGGAGGCATAAGTCGTGATCTTGCCTGTATACCCAGGTAAAGGAAAGCCCTCCAATTTGGGGAGCTCCTTTCTGTGTTGCTGTCCACCTCCTGGCGCTGATGGGGGGAAACTCATGTGGCACTGGTCCTCTTCCAGTGGCAATCTCACTGGGGCTGTGTAATTTTGACTGCTATTCCGGGTTTGCATGAGCAGTTGCAGAAGCCTGTTCTCTTCCATCCTCCCTGTCAATCGCTGACTGTTTTAGCTGTTCTTCTGATCTCTTTGCGGGCAACAAAAGATGACTTCTCTGCCCGCTGCTTGGAGAAGTCTGAAAACTGGCAACATCTGTTCATCTCCACTGCAAGGCCAGGCAGTGCAGCCCTCTGCCAGGGCCAGAAAGAAACCTCTGGGATCACCTTGTCTTCATGCCCTGCCTCACTCATGAGACTTCTATGAACTTGTTTGTTAGTTCAGGAACAGAAAGAGGGCAGAACATCCCCTTTGCACATGTGCCCAATGAGCGCACAGCCCAGACCCCACGGTCCTCGCTGGCTGCGCTGTGCCCTGGCTGTGTGACGGGGATGCCATCCCTCTGGAGCTGGCTGTCACAGGTCAGAGGTTCCTGTGCCCACAGCTGTGAGGTGGTGAGAGATCTTTGCTGCGCTCGTGATGTATCTTGATGCAAGGTCAGTTTTCTAGCTGGGATTAGTCTGCTGTTGCAGGGAAGTGTATCAGTAGTTCCCAGACAGGCTTGGAGCTCTGACAGTGTGACTGAGCTGGTCTCCCTGAGGGATGCTGCCAGAAGGGGAGAAGAGTCCCGTTCCTGCTGCCTTATCCTTGGCTGCCCACTCCTTTTCCCTCTTTTCCTTGCTGTGAACCGGTTCAGGGAGTTAACCCAGCAGAAAGCTATCCATGCTAAGCAACTTTGTATTAGTTCAGCTCTCTGAAAGTGCACACTGTGGGGATCAGAGCAGCTCCATGTCAAGGGCTGAGGCTGGGCCGGCCGTTGAGGAATGACAGATGCTCTCTATTAACCCCTCTCCCCCAGAAGGGGAAGGGAGAGAGACTTACAGGTTGGAAAAGAAAGCTAAAACAGCTTTAATGAAACAATAACAATAAAAGATAAGATAATAATAAAAATAATGAAATATATACAAATATATACAAAACCAATACCGAACCCAGCTCACGCCCCCCTGTTGAGGATAGGTCATCACTGGTGCTGCAGGGCTGGCACTGGGGCAGTCCCAGACTGGACTCTAGCAGATGAGAACCAAATGGAGGAGTTGGATGCAGGAGCTGGATTCAGGAATGCACAGATCAGGATCTAAGACAGAAGAACGGATGGAGTCCTCCTTGGATGTCGGCCATTGAAGAAGAGAGCTTGAATCTCGTGATCCCTCAGCTTTTTTACTGAACATGACATCTGTGGGATGGAATGCTTAGCTGGTCAGTTTTGGGTCACCTGTCCGTTTTGTTCCTCCCCACAGGTGCAACCTTTTATGTGCTTGTGACCCTTTTCACTTACGGCACCCCAACACGGAGTACAAGATTTAGCAGTGACCTTGGTTGCTGTGAGCAACTATAAGAAAGGGCCTTTCTGCATACCGTTCCTTGGTATTAACTATGAACATCAAGCGCTGTCACTACTAGAAGCAGTCACTGTCTGGAAAAACATGCTGCTGTTTTCAGAAGGTGCAGTTACTTAGAAGAGACTTAACTGAAAAGTAAAAGCACTGAACAGAATCAGTTCTGGTTTAGCCTAAACGAGGGCATCCATCATAAACAAAAGGAAGGGGCTGGGAAGTATGGGTGGAAGGGACTACCTGATGCTGTATGGTCAGTTTGGCTTTATTATCAGCTCAGGCTTGTAGCCTGCATGCGTGTAAGGGTCCATCAACATCTGGATGGGGCTGAGACTACAGAGCAGTCCTCCTGATTTCTTAAAACACTGGAAAGAATTACTCTGTGCCTGAGCACAGCGTGGGGCAAGAAGGGGGCTAAGCTATGCTTATGCATTAACAGAGATCCCAGCAGCTACAGACAAATGCTGTTGTGTCGAGGAGATGTTTATAATTTTTTGTAATGTCTGAAATGTGCTTTGAAAATAAAAAGCCCCGGGAGAGAGTGAACTTTGTTTAAAACTCCTCATGTAGCCAGCAAAAACCTGTAGGGATGGGCTAAAAGACTTTTCTCCATCCTTGCTGGGAGACCTTGCTGAGAAATAGTAGGAAGTCTTGGCCTGAAGTGAGTTTCATTGGGGAAGTAATAGAAGGACTCATGACAGTGATTGCATTTTGGTGGAAGTGGCTGTCCTTGCACAGTGGGATTGGTGAGGGGGCAGGGAACTCCCAGTCTTTTCTAGCAAGAGGTAAACCTTCCTCTCTCTGTGTTATTTCACCTGCATCTGCCCATTTCTGATGGATCCATGAGGAATGTAAAGCTTCCTAGGGAAAAAGTGAGCTGTTTGAACTGGCCAGTGTCAGATGCCTGTCTAGCAAAAGTAGAGAAGCGTGTCTGGGAGACATGGGGGAAGGGCGACCCAGAGACACCTCACAGGAGCTAGATGTGCTTGCAGAGGTCTGAGTGCAGGCGATGAAAGCCTTCACCAGCAGCAGACAGTGTCAAGAAGCCCTGGTGTTTGAAGAAAGACGGTTCAGTCCTCCTTATTCCAGGGAAGGGCAGTACAATGTGAGCCTTGGGCAGAGGTGGAAGGTCCTCTCATCCATCCCATCCTTAACATCTGCAGAAAAGATGCTGACTTTGGGTCTACTTTGAGAAGGAAGCTTATGCTGAATAGACTGTGTTTCCTTGACACAGTGATTTTCGCCATCTGCCTCAGTTTGCTTAGCTTGGTGGGACTGTGTGGGCAACGTGGCCTGGTAGCTGTTGAGACATGAGTGGAGTGACTAGCTGATGGCTGCCTGGCCCTGCAGGGTACCTGGGGTGCTGGGGCCAGGCTCTCAGCATGTTCAGGCTGTGCTGCCATACCCAGGGTGAATACGCATACTGAATGGAAATCCTGTTTTTCCCCAGGCTCACATATTTGGTCTCAGGGGTGTGTGGGGGGGGTGGTTGATTTTTTTCCGAGAGATTTTCTCATCACCGGTCGAATTTTTTCCCAGTGGTGCCTGTAGTTCAGTAGTGAATTTGTGGTACTTGCAGATCTGATGGCCTCAGCCCTGCAGGCATCTGCCTTAGCAGACCACTGGGAGCTCAGCAGGGTTCCTTATCTGGGTGTCCTGGCTGACTAAGTTTTTTGGGGTGAGTGCTGGTAAATGCAAGCTCTTTGTCACAGGGAAGCAGCTCTCTTGTTTGTCACCGCAGTGGTTTCTATTTGCATATCAAATAAGAACTGGCAATGCTTAGGTTTTCTTAACCAAGGCAAAAATGTTGATTCCAGGGATCACATCTGTTTCTCCTTTAGCAAAATGCAAACACTTTTGTGAAAGGAACATGTTTTTCTCCGTTATTTGCCTTGTATTTTGGGCTTTGGAGCACAGCACTGAGAACAGGTTTATTGCCTTTTGTGGTGTTCATAATACAAGAATCTCCTGGAGCAAAGCCAAGTGTCTGACGTGCCCAATTGCCTTCTGCAAGAGAGAATACTTCTAATAAATTATCTCCAGGACACTGGCCTTGCTGCACCCCAGAATCCGCTACAGCCCGGGAAAATGTATTTCTGCCTCAAGAGCCATATGGGAGAGAGGAGAGTGAGAACCTAGACAGAGCCTTCCTCTCTTCGTGCTGTCGTGGTGAGAGGTGTCTGAGAGTTTAGCACTGTTGTTTCACCAGACCCTGCTCTTCACTCCGACTTTTACAGGGGAGAAAAGCCCCTGGATTTGGCTTGCAGCCCTTCTGCTCAGGGGGGCCATGAAAACGTGCGGTTTGATGCTGCCACTAAGCTCAGGACTAGATTCCCCTCCCCTGTGTTCTCAGTGATGCTTTTGCCTTCATCAGCCTTGTGATGAGTGCTTTGAGAGCTAAACTTACTGCAGGGGAGTAGTGGAGGGGGAAGGCTAACTGGGAGCGGAAGGAGCATAACTGGTACGAAGGGGGGTGGGAGAAGAGAATGCAGAAACCTTGAGAGGCATTGGTGGATCTGAGGGACCAGAGCCGTGCCACCAGCACCCCTCTGAGCCACGTTTGCACCCACCACTTCCCCTCTCCACAGTGTGCTGAAGGAGGTGTACGCTGCGTTCAACCCAGACGCGGTTGTGCTGCAGCTGGGGGCAGACACCATCGCTGGAGATCCCATGTGCTCTTTCAACATGACGCCCGAGGGAGTGGGCAAGTGCCTGAAGTATGTCCTGCAGTGGCAGCTAGCAACTCTGATCCTGGGAGGAGGTGAGTGCACGTGTGTCCTGCTGTTCACAAGGAAACAGGTTTGTCCTCCTGCAACCCTTCCTTGAGTGTGTGCCCTTGGGCTTGGCACTGACTGGAGTTTAGCAGGGTGACTGCTTGGCAGCGTCAGAAGGGCACTCTGTGGCGCAGTACTGTTTTCACACAGACCTGAAATCCTCTATACCAACAGGTGCAAGTCTCAATCCTGACTCTAAGATCTTGAGTTAAAGGCTGCTTGGCTCCTCCAGAGAAGAGCAGAGGCTGTTAACCCTGATGAACTGACCCTGGCTTTTCAATGGCACCTCTGATTCCCATCTCTGCTGATGAGCCCTTTAGCGCTTCTCTTTAAAAGTGAGCGCTGTGTTCCCAAACCTACCCTGGGCATCTGGCAATGAATCACTTCATTTGGATTCAGGCAGGGGCTTGGGAAAAGGACTGCCTGCCTGCACAGTACAGCAGGGCTTTGATACCCAGCAAAAGCTAAGGTTGACTTAGCTCTGCCATGCTGCATAACCAGCTGCTTGTCCAGTGGGGAGAGCACTGTCCTGGCTTCATGCAACAGAGCATTTCAGAACAACAAAAGCTGCTGTGTGCCACAGAGAGCCACCCAGCTCTGTGCCTGGAGCTGTATCGGCTCCCCTAGTTGTTGTTCTTTTTGAGACGGGGGCCATCAGGTATAGCATGTTAAGCCTAAAATTTGATGTGCCTAACGCACTTTGTTTTGGAAAGGTTATGATTGTTCAGTCCTGCTGTGGTGTGTCTGTGGTATGCTGGGGATAGCACCTTTTGGGCAAAAAAACCCCTCAAAACTGTTGTCAAAAAATGAGGGACAACTGCTTGTCACTTGTGAAAATCCCACCACTGCAGCTTGTGGAAGCATTTGAAGTGGAAATTGGAGGAGTCAGTACTTGCAAAAAAACCAAACAAAACCAAGCAAAAACCCCACCAAAACAACAACCCAAAGAGAAGGGAATGTTGAAAAATATGGTCTCCCTCTCTTTTCAAAGTGGTTTTCTCTCTTACTATTTTAGTCATCTTTGCTGGAAAAAAAACTTCTTCTGAGTCTCCTGCAGGATTGCTTTCAGCCAAGGTTTCTCCTTGTGGGCTCAAGTACCATTACCACGGAGGTGACCATTACCATACTGACTGTGAAACCTCATTTACTTGGAAAGCAGCCGCAAGTCGTACTATTGAGCTTCATATTTGTCCTCTCAAACATGACAGTGCTGAAGAGCTCACCAGTGAATGGTTGCTCGTGTGTATTATGCTTTATGGGTCAAAGGCTGGCATTAAAAAGCAGGAGTCCCCCATCTCCGCTGCTGCTCTTTCACTTCTCTCCCTGTTACCTTTGAACACCCCTTCTTGTTGCCAGGAGAGAGACCAGGGCATGGGGCTGGGGGCTCGTGCTGGGTCTGAGATGGTGGCTGGAGGAGCCTGGCCTGTGCCATGCTGGGTGTTTGAGAGGTCTGCCCTGGCATACAGTGTCATTCAGTTCTGGTCTCGTGTAGCCAGCAGGTGCAAAATGCAGTTTTTGGGCACAGCTTGAGCAGATGAAATAAGCTGAATTCATGTAAACTGTGCATGTTGCCTCTGCAATTTGTTCCTTACACTAAAATCTTTCCCCCTCTCTTCCCTTTCCCCACTCTTCCCCCTCCAAAATCACAATTCTTGCTGGAGACAGGAGGCTACAACCTTGCCAACACAGCTCGCTGCTGGACATACTTGACTGGGGTCATCCTTGGGAGAACACTGTCCTCCGAGATCCCCGATCACGAGGTAAAGCTTTGACAAACCCTCCGTTCTCCTTGTGCGAGAGCTGAGTCATTTTACCTAATCCGAACAGCATCCTTGCTGCTCAATACTGTTTTGTTGAGGCAATCCTGTAACAATAACGTACTGTCTTAGCAGCATAGTGGGTGCTTGTTCCCAAAACCCGAGGCTGTCTGCATCTTTTTGCAAGGGATCTCGGGCGCCAATAAACTCCAGTCTCAGATAATTACAGAGAGGATGGGGAGGGGGAGTCACCTGTTTGCTCAAAGAGCTCTTTAGGATGTGCATGTACTTTTGGTAGGGAAGAGCCAGGCCTTTCTCAAGGCTTTACATTTTAGCCCTGCTTTCATCAACTTATAAAAAGTACCAGGTGCGGCTTTGAACTGACCAGCAGTCTTGCAGTGGGCCATGGGGCTGGGTGCTGTTCATGATTGCATATGAGTTGTCTCAGTTCCTGTGCTGGTGCTTTTAAAGTCTTGAGCAGGCCTGGGCAGCTGGTCGGAGGGACACAATCTAGACTGTATTTGGGTGGAATGACTATAGGTTCATAATAGGTCTCAAACTGCAGATCAGTGTTACTGACCCTACAGAAAGAAACCTGCACGTGCAAAGTAGTTCAAGCCTACAGTGACTACTGAGGAGAATTATGGTTTTGCCTTTGTTTAGGGATCTCACAGACCAGTATGCGTGAGGAAGTAAAGTGTTGGTGTGGATGGAAACTGGAAATTCATCATTATAGAAACTGGTGATTAGAGATACAAGATGCTTTTTGAGAGTTCTCATGCTTAAATACGATCCTTTAACCAGGTTTCTTCAGAAACGGGTTTTAAACAAGACTGGATCCTTCGTATATGCAGGGAGTGAAAAGGGTAGATCCCTCTGTAGGAATTAACTTCTGAAGTTGGTTAGGTTTTACCTGTTCGTTATTGCTCTGAACAGTTTATTTTTTGTGTTAATGGTTCCTGCACCGAGTGCACTGAAGGATAAGAGCAGTGT